CCTGCTGAAACAAACATAGAAATGGTTAAAACCAGAGTTGAGTCAGACAGACATGACAGAAATGACAGACATGACAGAAATGACAGACATGTTCTGATTTAATCGACAAAGACTAACACAGGAGGTGACGTTGTGCAGACAGAAGTAAAATGTGATGATCTTCTCAGGCTGAGCTTAGTATTGATTACTTACCAGTTGCCATGTTTCCACCGAGGTGCTCTGAGCATGGCATCGTCCCCACACACTGCCCCCTGCTGACTTTGGTGATGGGTTAAAAGCAGAGGTCACATCTGGTTGTGCTGTGTCACAGTGACAAGTAGTTCACTTTCCGTCCTTCCTTCCTTTCCTTAAACACCAAGCAGGTTAAATAATACTTATGTTCCTGTGCATTCAAGACATTTGGGGAATTGTGGGGGAAAAACTGGAGGGAAAAATATATACAATTATTAAGAATTGTCAAACCCACAGGATCTCAAGCATTTTAAAATACTTACAGCTCTCCCCAAAAACCTCTCTCTCTTCAAGTGCATCGTTAATATACAGCAGCAGCAGACGGAGCGTGTTCAGCCGAGCACAGCGCACTGAGAAATGAACGTACAGCAGCCATACTTTACAATGAAGAAGCTTTAAATCTGCAGTCGAAACCTGATTCTAAAATATAACACACACATACACAGAGAGAGAGAGAGAGCAATTTAACACACACATACACAGAGAGAGAGAGGGAGAGCGATTGAGATACAGAGAAATACAGAGCAAACCCGGCATACCACAAGGGGGAGCCCAGGTCCCACTACGGTGGGCGTACCATAGTTTGAGAACCACAACTAAAACATTGATAATCCGTGCAGAGCATCGGCCTACTCGAGGGGCCACGAACCCCCTGTTGAACCTATGTTTAGTTAAATGATGTCACCAGTGAAACACGACCGCAGCAGAAAAACCAAAACACAAATGTCATCTGGAAACAAATGAGACGACAGAACCAAGGTCATTAATTTAACCAGTGATTTCTATAATGTTATAATAGAAAAGTCAAAATGAAACAGACTCAGAACACGGTCTGGGAAATCACATGTTCTGTTCAAGAGCTGCGGTCACATGACTCTGCCATGACATTCAGTTCAACAAAACTGTGGTCTGTGGATCTGTGTGTGTCCGGCAGATGAACCATAACAGGAACAAACTCATGTTTTAAATGAGGACAAACCGGTTCCAGCCAGTGAGTATTACATGAATTATTTGCAGTGATGGACGTGGAGACCTTTCCGCCCGCCCCGCCGGGAGGTTCCACTGTAAACCATTATGTCCTGGAGCGTGTAGGTGCTGACATCTGAACAGACTCCATCTGGGTGTTTTTATCTGAGCCAGCTGACACGTACGGACCGAGGACGTACTGATAGGACTTCAACACGGGGACCTCCGGAGGTTTACTAATGGACAGATGTCTGAATAAAAGCTTCAAGTAAAGAATAGTTTAGAATCCCACAGTTTCCTCCTGAAAGGAGAGTCATGTTACTGCACCTCCTCCTCTCCTCACTGCAGCACCAACACTGACAGTTACACGCCGCCTACGCACGCTAGCTGTTTTTTCCAACTTCGGAACAGGAGGAAGTAAACAAATTTGACGTGTTGCACATTGGCAAACAATTATTAAAATCGAGATCGACCAAATTATTGTTATTTGTAAAAATATTACAGCAACGATACACGGTAAATCCAAAAATAGAAATTGGAATTCGATAATTTTCTCAATTTTTTACACTGCTCTCCAGCAGTTGGTAGTGGATTTTTTAAGTTTATTTCATTTATTATTTTATCATCATCTGCGCCATGTGATTCCCAATAACCTAAAGCTATGTGTAATGTATTTATATCAAAGCATTGACAAATATAATTATAATAATAATATAATTAATATAATATTTTTGTTTTATTATTAATAATATTTGTATTACTAATATTATTACTAACTGTTCACTAATCAATGGTTCAGGAGCTAAAAAAATAAATCTATAAAAATAATTTTCACGTGACAATATATTAGTTATACTAAGTTATATTAAGTTATATAAATACGCTGCACGCATGCAAATGGAAATTTACAAAAGTAACAAAACACTAATCAGGTTAAAAATAAATTTCTTTTTAATTAAGAAGGCACAGAAATCTTCTCTCAACTAATCGGATTCTTAAGCAGATTTTTTTTTCCTCAGCATTTAATTCATCCCTGGTTGATTTTCTGCAGGTTATGACTGCTAAACACACTACAGCCTGTAGGGGCCGGGATTCAGACGCAAAACCTATTGCCTTGTGGTAAGTTGTGGTAGTTATCGGGTTTGTTTTTTGGACAATCGTAGGGTTAGAATCCTGTACGTGTGTTGATCAAACTCCCGATATCTGTTCAACGGGGATGTGTTAAATGCAGGGAGACATTACGTCGTGTGTATCTGTGTCTGTAGACGTACAATGAAAAATAAACCTGACTCCTCTAGGTAAAAGGAGAAGAAGTCATGTTTGGTAAAACAAATAATTATCACCTTCATCATCATCATCAGGATCAGTGACGCAATAAAAGGGATGACAGTTAAAAAAAATCTTGCTATGATTTCAATCCATTATAAAATAATCTCCAGAATACTGCATTTAAAGCAACATGATTTTTTTTTTGCTGTTACAATTCTGATTCAGTCGTTGTGTTAAATGTATGATCTGAGCTCCATGTACTGTAAGTGCTGCGATCACTGCTCTGTGTACATGTCACAAAAGACGAAACATTCAGAGTTTCTCACTGCAGACGACGGGGCTGAAGGTCTTGTCAGAGTCGGCCATAAAAGCTTCTATCTCCTCCACAGTACGAGGGACACAGGTCAGGAGTTCAACGCCCGTCCCCGTCACCGCAATGTCATCTTCAATACGAACCTATAAACAGCAGAGACCAAGCAGTAAATATACGAGCCGCGCCGAGGCAGACGACAACACTGACCCTGGATCTGCTGCAAATTTCTTCCTGATTAAAGGAAGTTGTCAAAATGTTTGCTCAGTGTTTTAGACGTTTAACCCAGGTTAATCTGTATTGTTAATCTAATCATCGTATTAACATCGAGTATATATACTGTACATTCCTCCATTTAAATGTTAAAAAGGTTTTTAGGAGGATAATTGGAAGGTTCATTTTAATTTTAATTTTTATTTCAAACTGTAAAGTCCATCAAGACAAATGTGATTTGTGAATTGGGATCTTATTAATAAAAATGACCTGACTTGATGTGAGAGCCTTCAACTTGACCCAACACATTACCGCTACCATGGTTGTTTACTAATAAACACTACTAACTACTAATAAAACATCACGTCAGTTTAACTAACAGCAGCAGCAGCAGACTCACCCCTCCAAACCCACGGAAGCGAGCCAGAACTTGGCTGTTGATGAAGCAGCTCTGTGTGGGGTCGGCCAGGGCCTTGTCCAGCAGGTGGTTGATGAAGTAAATGCCAGGCTCCACGGTGAGGACCATTCTCTCCTGCACCAGACGACCCATCCGGAGACTCCTGAGTCCAGGTTCAGGGATGCGCTCAGTACCCTGAACAAAATTAAATAAGAGATATTTATTATTCGACATTTTTAACTTTTAGACACAATGTTTTATTCTCACATGGTCGGGAATTTTGTTCCAGCTTTTTTTTTTATTTTTATAGTTTTGCTGCTCCTGCGACTTATATTTCAGATCAACTACTAAATGAAAAACATACTCCATATCATCGATGGCCACAAGAGGGCACCCTCTACACTCTAGAACACTCATCGCTACTACTGCAGCATAAAAATAATTACTGAAACTAAACCATTAGGACTCCATATAAAATACAAATAAAATTAAAAATAAAAGTGGAGCAGAAGAAGAAAAACTGATGGAGGAACTGGACCAGGAGAAGAGGAGGTGAGGTGTCATCGTCCTCCAGGGCTTTACGGTAAATAGAAGGTGATGATCTAAAAAATATTTACCATGCTACATTAATATATTTAGTACATATTCTTGGACTCTTGTGAAAAAAAATGTTTTTTTTTCTCTTCACAAAGCATTTTATGTCATTCTTATACTACGTTGCAACATATATTCTTTTTTTTTTTCTCTCCAAAAAACATACAGACGCCTGTGTCTCCATTTCTCCTTCTTCTTCTCCTGCTCTTATTCTGAAGCAGTTCCTCTCACCTCTGTATAAAGTCAATCTATATTTGATGAGGCATCAATATTGGAGCAACAGCAGTGGTGTTTTCTGTCTCGTGTGGACAGGGGTGGTTGTGATGAGAACAATCTGACAAGTTCTCTCATATCACCTCAGGGTAGCCTCCGACATCGTGCACATCAATGCCCAGCAGGTGGCCCAGTCCGTGGGGCATGAAGACAGAACCGAGGTGAACCTTCATCATGTCGTCTACGCTGCCCTTCACGATGCCGATCTTCAGCAGCTCCTCCAGGTGAACGCGGTCAGCCAGGCGGTGCATGTCAGTCCACTTCACACCTTCAGCAAAAACAGGGATGTCACGACAAACAGAAGAGAGTTTTGTTTGAATTTTCTAAAACGCTGGATTTATGAGATGAACCCTGGTGGTTTTTTTGGGTAGCAAAGACTTTTATAGATCAAATTTGTCAATAACAACTGACAAACTAATGGGTTTCTTTTAACCTCACTTAAATCTTTAGCTAAATTCTAGCCATAGATTTTCAGGTTTTTGGACCATGTGAGACAATGGTTCTCTAAGTGTGGGGCGCAGAGCTATTTCTGGTGCTGCATGGTAAAGATAAAATGCAGATCAAATCTGGTGGTAAAGAGTTAAAAATGCTTTTGAAAAAAAAAAAAAAAAAAAAAAAAATTAACCTGGTTTGATGGCGGTCATGACGGTTCTTGAGGATTTGAGAACAGCTTCATAGATTGCTCTTTGGTTGGCGGTGAACTTCCCATTGGCTGGGAAGGAGCAGGTGATGTCTGATGAGTAGCAGTAGTATTCTCCACCCATGTCGAACAGACTAGTGGAGGCAAATGGACAACAATGTCTGATTGATCAAATCTCAGTGAAAAAACATTTTTGTTTTGTCACTTGACTAATACAAAACAACTTTTTTTTAAATTTGTTTTTTAACCAGTCAATACAATATACTTTGCAGATGTTGATATATCTGTTGTTTGTCAAAAAGCTGATTCCCTTTCTGAACTACATCTTTTCTTTTCATTTGCCATTGTTTCATCTACGTCTGCTCAGTTTGCCTGTAATCACTGTCTGCGGATGAACAGTTTGTTAATTAAAATCAATGTAATGGCCGTGACAGTCTGGAACGGTTGACGTGACTAAGGAACAGAGAGAAGAAGAAGAAGAGACAGGTCGAAGACAAGAGAGAGTGGAAGGAGTTATAATTTAACAGACTGACCAGTTTAATTAAGGTTCAGGTTCAAAGGTTGTTTTTATACACACTGACATGGAAATGTAACTGAGGCCACGAACATTCAGTCTGGATATGACAGAAAAAATGGGGCAATAAAAAGAAAATAAAGCGTTTACTGTTCTCTGCCAACTGTTTGTTCCATGACACCTGCCAGCAGTTCTTCTGACTCAGCTGACAAACCTCTTACAAAGCTGCCAAGTTCATTTTATTTGTAAAAACACATTCATCTCCATGGACTACAGAGTTTTTAAAGTGGAATAAAAACCAACCTCCTAAAAATATATATATATATATGACAGGGAAAAATGGAGGAGTGTGTAGAGACAAATTGAAATTGAGTTCCTATTAACAATACAAAGGAAAAATGAATAGGTTTCACAAATACGACTGAAAACCACAATAAATCACACACTCAGCACCGGGAAGAAATCTTCTCCAGAACATCCAGACTCAGTGGTCAGCATCAAGTCACCATGTTATAATAAACACAGGGCAACACAGATATCCTTTAATATTTCTACCATGTTATAATAAACACAGGGCAACAAGGCTATTTCAGCCCAACCTAAAACTGTAGCTAATTTAACCATGTGCTCCGTAATTCTATTACAATATTTCCCATTTATTATTAAAATCATTGGTGGCAAGTTAAAAAAAGACAGACACTAAGATGCTAAAACTCCAGAGCAGAGTCTACTCACCACATGTCTCCATCATTGATGACTTTGTCATTGGGAGCACCAGCGTGGCCGTAGTGGAGCACGGAAGAATTATTGCCCCTAGGAAGAAAAAAACAAACAACATTCATCAACACACTATAAAAAAAAAACTGCCATCAGAAAACAGGAAGTGCAGGACTGGGTCTTAATTTGCTTCTGATTTGTACAACGACATAAAAGTATCCTCAAACACATGTGCAGCTGAGCAAATTCTGATCAGTAAGTCGGTCTTAAAATACTTCTAAAACCATCATGATTCTGTTCAACTCTGCAACAGAGACAAAGGTGAAGTCCTGATTGGCTGCAGATTACTGTCAGTGATTAAACAGTTTCTATCTACAAGGACTGACAGCAGAAATACTGCAGTGGGGACGATAAAGGTGAATGAAGTCAAATGATAAAAGGCTTACGTTCCACAGATACAGGTGTATGAGGTGTGACGCATTCCTCCCTTGGTGTAGCAGTAATGCTGGAACAGGCTGGAAAACACAGGGAAATGACATCAAAACACACGTTAGGGGGAAAAAAAAACTATGGATTCATCACCTGTGATAAATGACAACAACTGAGTTCAGACACAGACCTTAAAGTGACACTGAATCTGTGTCTATTAGAATAATAGTCCACTCACCTCTCCATCTCATACTCTCTGTTTCCTGGTTTCACCTGCTTCATGACCTACGAGTGAAATACATGTGGTCACCAGAATACAATGACTCAATAACACACAGCACACTATCAATACACATCACAATGTTGACAATGTTTAATATAGTCTTCTACTCTTCTGTGTGGTTTTACCTTAAGAAAAAAACTGTAGCTATTTGCAAATTTAAACACAACTAAAAAAAAAACCCCTATCTCTCACCACTTTGTGGGCTTCACTGGAGATCCTGTTGGTGTAGCGCAGAACCTCCAGCTCCATGTCGGTTTTAAGGAGACGACTGCAGGGGCGGACAGAAAAACAACTCAGAATTTGAGATTTGAATTTTGAGCTGACTGTAATCAACTGTTTTCTTGTAACAAATATCTCAGTATAAAAAGACAGTTATTGTAGCTGTGGATGAAAGAAGGAGCCGTGGTTTTATATGAAGTCTGACTCCCAGGAGTTTGTGTCTAAAAAGACTTTTTTCTTCATGTCTTTAAGATGGTGTTCATTTATCTGCGGGGCTTAAGATAAAGACGACCAGTGGAGCTCAGTGTCTGTTACTGCAGCCTGACTCAGAGACGAGCCTCTGGTTCTGACTGCAGACGTACGATGACCTGACTGAGGCGCTGTGATTAGAACAACCGTCACTCAGTCTGACTGACAACACCGACTGTAGGTTTATATTTACTGGTCAGAAAATCACTCACCATTCCACAATGTCAGGGTGTAAGAGGGTGTTGTTGACCTGGAACCTGATTAAAACACAAGAAGGAAAGAAATGTTAATCATCAATGAAATGATTTTTGAAATATTTTTTTTAAATACAGGAGTGAGTCAAAAAGTTCTAAGACAATGTTACAATTTCCAGAGTGAAAACTAAAACCTGAAGATCCATCTCAGCATTTTTATCATTAAACATTTGTCAAGCATTGATCTGTGTCAAGTTACATTTTACAATTTACATTACAATTTGAAATCAGTACAAAATAGCCTGAGATTTAAATTGAAAAGAAAGTTCTAGTATATTTTTATTACTAAAACACTAGAACTTTACTGTTTTCTTTCCTAAAACCAATAGAACATTTGAAAGAAACTGGAACTTGATGAGGCAAAGAAGCAGATGCAAATAAAAGAAAAAAGAACGTAAAATCCCCCAACGAAGAATCTTAAGAAGACGAAGAATCTTATGAATTAGTTAACAGTTAGTAAGTATAAAATATTATATAAAAAATATATAAGTTTCCCATCTTTAAACCCCTGAACTAACACTACTATGGTGACCATTAGTAACAAGACAATATTAATATCTTTCTAAATCTAAAGCTATGACTTTACATTCTAAACAACTGTTAAAATTGATGACACACATTTGGTTTATAAGGACAATAACAATGATAAGAATTTATATTTTGCCAAATGACACACACCCACTAATCCCTTCAAAGGAGGCCTCGTGGCAGATGCTCCCGCTGTCTGTATTTTGTCCTCGCTGCAGGAAAAGAAACACAAACGTCACAACATTACAATAAAAAAAGAAAGAAAGAAACCTCAAACAAATAGTTCAGATTCATGTAGCATCGGGCAAACAACAACAAGCTGATAAGAGACAGTGACTGATGTCGGATGTGGTAAATAAAAGATAAGAGTCAGTTAAAAAAAAAATCACATAAAAACATGATAAGGAGTAAGAGGGGAGAAAAAAAAAAGAAAAGACAATGATACGAACCAGTGTGAGGAGCAGTGATGGTCTGAGGTTGGTCAGAAAGACAGCAATCTGTGGAGGAGCAAAGGATCAGTCAGAAGATGGAGGCTCAAATAAAGCAGCAGAATCAATAAATATCATCCTTCTATTTATAGTCTGCAGAATGAAGGTCACTGTGAAAGACAGCAGTGAGACGGGCTGTGTGAACTGTGTGGTAATCAGAAAGAGAGAGAGAGAGACAGACACGGTGAGGAGGAAACCTCAGGTGACCTTCTTCAACACCATCCTGAAAAACACTCGCACTCTGAGATGTTTGAAATGAGAAGAAAACGCCTTCATGAGGTTTTTCATTAAACTTCCAACCTTTTTTTGACCCCACAGTGGCAGAAGTGGTTAGTGCGCCTTACAGCAAGATAATCACCTTTTTACTGAATGTGACTGTGAGTGGTGGTTATGGACGGGTAAACTATCAAGACTTCACCCCTGTCCTCTCCAGGAGAGTCAAATATGTAAAATAAATATATACATTTAATAAAAATAAAAAAACAGTTGGTCTATGATTTAAGCTGTAGTGGTTATTATAGTATATATTTATTCTATTTACCATGGAAACGTCTGGGGAAAAAAACACTACATTTAAAGCTAACCATAACAAACCGAGAGCTATTTGTTTGTTTTCAACCTGGTGGAATTGAATGTTTGACCGTTCAAATGTGTCTGTCTTTGTAAAAAAGGTTCAGTTAATGCAGAGTAAGGAATGAGGTCACGCACACACAAACCACTGCAGATATGGAACCAAAACTGTTCAGAACTTACGTCACAGACGTACTGCACGTCATCGACCGCGTACTTCTCCTTGAAGTGATCCTTACTGAAGATTCTGTCCACAGGAAAAAGAAGTATACATGGAGGGAGGAACAAAAGTACAAATATAGAAAAAAACATGGTTCATTTTGGTAAAAAAAAAAAAAGCAAGTGATGATTTGATATATATATATATATACACACATATATACATATTTAAATATACATACATACGTATATAAATATATATGTATATATCTCTATATTCTCAAATCATCACTTTTTTTGGTGAAAATATATGATAAACCTGATATAATTATAATTGACTGATTTTATTGGTCTCGTCAGTTCTGCAGAACTTCTGATGACTTCAGTCGTTTCGGGACTAGTGTGACTCACTCTCCCATCCATGTGGCGTAGCTCTCCGGCAATTTAGGAACAAAGAGGATGGATTTCCCAGAGTCCACTTCAATGGCTCCATAACAGTCAGGCTCTGTTACTCCAAAAGACCAGTGGAAGAACGACTCCTAACAGAGGTGAAACAATCAGAGGATGTGACGGAGAGAAAGTGTAACAGTCAGCTGAAAGAAGACACAGTGTCAGCATATTTTATATATGATCACAGAAGAAGAAGAAGAAAAAGGCGTCTGGTCCTAATTGGATTTACTGAAGTGAACATGAAAACAGAGCTCAGCAGAAACACAAAAGATAGAAGTGTCTTCCTAATGATTGCTGGGTTCCAGTCACGCTCTCAGGCTCATACCACAGCACCACAGAAACTGAGATCTACACTTACTCACTGAATGAATTAATTGGCTTTTTATAAATATATATTTTGAGTATATTTTTGCTGAGTCCTGTAGTTTTACAGATGAGTAGAGAAATAATATCAGGTATGCATTTTAATTAAGTTCAAAGTAGAGGCTTTGAGGTACTGTGTGTGTGTGTTTATACCAGTGTGGCCAGTAAGAAGTCAACTAATTATAACAACAGTTTTTGGAAACCAGCAAAGGTTGAAATGTTGGTTTGTTTTGGTGATTTTTATTCAGTGAGGTTTAATCAGTGACACGATTTAGTCAAACCTGTTATTATGTAAATAGAACTGAACATAAAATAAAGTTGGATTAACATGAAAAAAATGCCTTTTTTACAACAAATAATTTCAAGAACTAATCAAATATTTTAAAAAAATAATATATTAAAAACATTTAACATATTATTATATATATTAAATAAACAGATGTTTATTTTCCTGATGCATGCTGTAGTTCAATGTCCTTCAATTCATTTTGGTGCATCACTAAAACTGCTTTTATATCAACATTTTATGATTTATTTTATTTGTGTTCATTTTACCAAATACTTCAAAACCCTCTGAATACAACAAACTGCAGGAAGACCCACCTGCCTGAAGAGCAAGTCTGTGTCCGTGCAGTACCTCTGCTTCTGCTCCCCTCCCTGCAGCACCACAACCGATTTTGGCAAAGCCTTTTTGTTTTTCCACCCTGGAACCCAGTCTGCGGCGGTTCTCGGCAAAAAGAGCAGCAGACACCCTCAGGGTGTCGTTACCCAGCCAGTAGACAGGTCTGCGGGACAGACGGACAGTTGGATGAAGGACAAATTTGTCAGAGAGACGAGAGAAAGACTTAGGTCTCAAAATGCAGACTTTGTCTGAAAAATATATACGTTTTTCTCAACACGTGGCTCAAAAGCTAGATGAAACTCTTACTTTTGTTTTGAAAACTGAATGAATACTTCCACCCCCTTTTTTTCTTACATCAGCAAAGTATATAACAGTATATAAAATAAATAAAAATAGGTGTAAAGTATAATACACATTGGCTGCCGCAAGACGAACCATTAACATATAAAAACAAAATCAGCAACAAGAATAAAACAATTTTTAACAGTGCCACGTATGACAGTTGTGGGGGAAGGGAAAGTTAAAGTACACACTTCTCTAAGAAACAACAGAGAGTTATATAACACCGATATAAAAAAGGGATGGGGTTTGTTTATGACAGATTTTAAGTTTAAGGCCTCGATAGAGTGGCCTTTGTAGGATAAGATAAATTAACAACATGTCTAACAGGTGCTGACACAACCAAAGGTTGGTCCGTTATCTCACAGTACTTTTATGGCTTCGTGAGGTTTTTACAGTTTGCAGAGTTTACAGTTTTCCGTGAGGGGAGAGAGTGAGAAAAGATAACAATATCAAACTTTACGGAATAAAAACACAAAATGAAGTGTTAGTGTTACAGACCGTACGTCTATAAACAATGGAATAAATTATTAGTATTTCTATAAAGTATATATAACAGCAGAGGTGAATGGTTATAGCAGCGGTTTTTAAAATCTGCGTATTAAAAAAATTACAGCTCACTCACAACAACAGTGTCTTAGCAGGAAAACCCAGCACCGATATCCGTGTTAAACCAAACACTATGAAACTGTCTCACATCGATTTGTTCATGAAATACTCGTCAATACGTTTCTTATCGTAAGTACCTCTTATCTCTTATGTACAGTTTACACACGAATGAAGTGTTTTTTCCGCGTACATATATTACGATATAAAATTGTATTATTGTATCATTAAAGCGGACATAAAAGCGATTCGTATTATTTTTTACATCTTCTTATTACAAAACTGCTCCGACTAAAGAGAAGAGGGAGAAATAAACTGTCCGGATTTAAAATAAAAATGCTCTTTGTTTTGCAGTTAAGGAATAAAATAAACTGAAGAGACAACTTACTGTGGTGCTGCGGCCATGATGACTTCTGTTCCAAACTGTCACATGACCGACACTGATCATCTGATGCGGCACGTGCTGCGTTCATGTGCTCGGGAAATATCAGCTTCCACCACGGTAGCAAATTTCACTACTGTATCGTAACCGTCAATACGTGGAGAAAAAAACTCTTAACCCCACAATACATAAATGAAAAGACAGGAAGTGAAATTATAAATGAAGGTCCGCTGTACGGATACAATGACTTTCTTTACTAAATGTGATATAAATAAAAGGCACCTTTATATAATAGACATCTTCACTAAACGTAAGTAAAAAAGTAAAAAAAAAAACCTACACGTCCATATTCATAGTATTACCACTGCTTAAGACATAATTCGATAAAAATGCAAGTCTATATTACTTTCTTTTACTTGTATCCCTTGTATCAAATGTTCATCCACCGCTACTAGTTAGCAAACACGACACACTAGCGGCATTAGCATCGCTATCATTTTAACACGATTAAATATGCCTTACTTTCCTCCATTTTCACGTCCAAACACGATATATCCCATGCCATATATTAGTGTGTACTATATTGTGTACCAGACATGTACATTTACAGTAGCCTGGGTATCATAGTCAGCTACAAAAACTTGTAATCTGTGGCCTGTGTTGAGTGCACGTATCCTACGGAATACAGTAACCCCGCGCTACTTCGCGGTTCACCTTTTGCCCGCGGATTTTTTTTTCCAATCTCGCGAGAGTTAACGGTATTTACGTGTAAGTGTACGTACATAATATAACTATATCTACTATATCTACTATATCTACTCGCTCCCCCCCCCCCCCCCCCCCCTTGGAACGCAACTAACGCGATAGAAGAGGAATCACTGTATAAATAAACATAAACAAGGGACAGACTGTAATCTTCAACGTCAGTGCAATTCATGGTTAGAGAATCATATTTATATTAAATAATGATATCGTACAAAGACATGCAACTCATAGCGTTCAGCTAACCGTGTGGAATATCAATGTCGTTTGTGAAATTATTTATCTATTCAAAATAAAAATATTTTTATACATGATTACGGTTTTGATTCATTGTTTTACGGCTTGACGAAGGCAACCAGCAGAGGTCAGTGTTGTGACTCATGACTAAGCAATTAGTTCAGCGCCTCCACTCCAATGCCTGGGGAGTAAAGTGATAGTGTCTTAGTAACAATCCAACCAATTTAGTCACTAGATACAATGCATTAGATATAACCAGGTGATTGGAATTTGGTCAGTTTTTTAAAAATGTTTTTGTGTAAAGTAATAAGTTTGTGTGCAATAAATTATGGAGTTGAGTTACTGTCTTAATCTGCCTCCTGTCTGATATCAAGGCTTTCTTCATTTTTAAATATATAGACATAGACAAAAACAACACGTGATGTATCATGAATAAGAGGAAAACAATTTTGACAAAGATAATTGACTTTCAACATGCAGTTATAGGGGAATGATTTAATTATATCCAGAACTTAATTAATGTGCAGCCATAGTGAATGCATTATAAAAAGGAAATTATGCCAATGAAACGTACCTTCTCCCTACGGAGGAGTTCATTCTCAAAGTGTATTTAATTTTAAAATCTGTAGCAAGAATCCAACGTTTGGATTAGTGATACTGGTGAGGGTTTTTTTTCAACAGAAAGACTGAAAAAGGTGCTTAAAGACTTTTGAAAAAATGTTTTCTGATTTTTTGTATTTGCTTTCTGTTTTTTCAAGTGATAAAACATGTTTTGCTCCATTCAAGTCAAACTGAATATAGGAACTATATAATAATTATCTGTAAATATTACAAAGTATTTCAGTCGTCACACGTCCCCTGAGAATGAACGAGTATTTCAATCAATTTGGCAAACAATATGTTATACTTACCAGAACAGTAGTAACTCTCTCGGGTTCAGACTGCAGCCCTCACCGCCTGTTCTGTACTCCTTCCAGGTCCACTTACATTAAGGTTGGAGGTGAGGACTTGTAACTCATAACTCTTGGACGTGATGAGCCTTGACACCGTCTTCGGTGCTCCTGACCCTGCTTGTTCAATGTGTGTTTGCTGATTAAACTGTTGCTTTAGGTGGACAACAGTCTTTGTGGTTCATGTGCAGCAGTCCATGAACTGTGGGCAACGGGGCTGGCGTTTATTTCAGAGTCGGCCGTGAAAGCTTCTATCTCCTCCGCGGTGCGAAGGACACAGGTCAGCAGTTCAACGCCTGCCGCTGTGACCGCAACGTTTCCCCTCAATCAGCACCTACAGTACAGTATAACTGGAGTGATGAAGTTTTCAATGGAAATTCAACCGCCACAAAACAACTTTAGAATCTGGATTAAACAGCTGCAGCAGAACCACCGCTCAGAAACCAAGGAAGCGAATCAGAACTGGGTCATTGACCAAGCAGCTGGGTCAGCCTGGGCCCTGTCCAGCTGGTGATTTATGAAGTAAATAGTAGGCTCCGCACTGAGGACCATTCTCTCCTGGAGAGAGCAGTTAATCCATTAAAAGATTAACCAATCAGAATTCAGAGAAGTCATCACCAATTTCATTTTTCTGACTTTTTTGGTTATTCATTTGGTGTGAGTTGACTGTCATTTTCCCCCCAATTGTTTTGCAATTTCCTAATTGGATTAAAAATGATCTTTTATAACATATAGTACCTGAGTATTATTTCTTCTCTCAGTATGCAGAGGTGAATGTGCAGGTGAACTGTTTCCTCCACCACTAATCCCACGAGGTCCTCATTAGAAATGGCCTTTACTACTAAAGGGCAGGAGATAATGAGCCATGACTCAAAACGCTCTCTCCATAGTGATACAACTTAAAAAGACGAGTGCATCTGTAGGAAGGAAACTCTCATAGGAAAATGAAGAATGATGCAGTAGTGACATGACATAGAAGAAAATCAGACGACGGGAAATCAAACCGTCGTACATGTTACAGCAGTCGTCATTTGAACGTGTTATTTGAAACAACGTGATAGTGGTTTAGATCAGAGCAGTGGAATTGTCACTCGATGGCTGTCATCAACAATAAATTGTGACACTGTGACAGAATGATGACAAACATTTTTTCCTTCAAATAGAACCAGGGGCGGAAAAAAAGTTGAAATAAAACATGTTTCTACAGGAGATAATCTCTCCGGTTGTGGAGATAAAGGGATCAAATGGAAGGAATAAAGTCTTCTTCCTCTCACCCTTAGCCACAAGTTGTATCTGTTAAAAAAAAATCATTCTATTTCTTATGTGTCTTTTCATCTGGAGGCTGAAACTCCTAATGCCAAGGACGAGCAGACAGGCACGGAGTCGATTAGAGCCGCACAGACGGACTCTGACTCTGAGAGGAACGAAAACAACTGCACAGCTCTCTCTGCTCTGATTGAAGTCACACAACGACCTGACTGAGGCGCTGTTATAGCAATAACAGCATCTGCTACTATATGTGACTGTTGTCTTAATTCCTACATGGAGCCTAATTATAATCACTCACCATTCGACAATGACCTGTTGAAGGACAGCGTTGTTCACAGGGAACCTGTGAATAAAAACAATGGAAAGAGAAAAGGAAATTATATACGTGTCAGTGTGAGAGTAAATATGATTCAACAAATCAATCACATGGTCATTATATACTGTACACACAGGAGCAATTATAAACAGTTCAAGAGAGTTATGATGTAGAACATTGTTTCCCAAAGACTGGGTCGTGACCCTCAAGTGGGTCACAAGAGATTATTTTTTGGGTCGCCCCTCATTAATAATAATAACATTAACATATTTACACTAAATATTCAAGGAATTCTTTTCCAGCACTGTTTGCATTTAATCCCAACTTTTATATACTACATAATACACCAGCTTTAGTAGCTGTTCACACATGGTAGTTACTATGAAATATCCTATAATGTAAATGTAAATTATTTAGTGGCTGATTTAATTAGGTTGTTTATCACCATAATTACACTTATGTAGAGCTAAAAAAACAGTTAAATATTTAGGGTTTTTTTAATCTCAATTAGGTTGTTTATCACCATAATTACATTTATGTAGAGCTAAAGAAACAGGTAAATATTTAGGTTTTTTTTGTTTACTTAAATAAATACTTTGTTAAATCTACATGCAGAAAAAGCCGCAGTGCTGTTTGTTTATCACAGCTCTGGCTGTAACTCACTCTATAAAATAGTTTATTATGATTAAATAAGTGCACAGCATTTATGATGAAACGTGGATATCGCCAACGTGTGTGATCACAGCAGCAGCGAGGCCTTTAACACTGGATACAACTTAAATGGCACAATTTATGGCCTTTTACTACATTATGCAACGCTCACATCACAGTCTGAGTGGGTCGTTATAATAAAGAGTACGGATCAACACGTGCAGCCAGCGCTTCGTTACATTTTATTACTAAGCTTATTTTGAGCTGAGCTTTTATCGCACGTATTATATAATATGATTTAAAATGATAACAGGTGTTTTTTTTTATATATTAAGGTAACGACGGTCAGTTCACCAACACGATGTGGTTGTTCAAAGTCAAAAACTGTTCCACAAAGTGTCTGACTTTTAAACAAAAACTTGTTGTTGTTTTGTTTTCTTATAAACTGCAGACAAACCAAGAGGAGAACTCACTGTGAAACCTCAGCTCCTCCTAAGTCACCCTGATCCTCAGAACTAACTGTTCTATTATTTTAAAGCGGTGACTCAGACAACAACTGAATCCAAGTTTGTTTTTTTGTTTTGTGACTCAGACAACAACTGAATCCAAGTTAGTTTTAGTTTTAGTTTTTTAATAGCAGTAGTAGTATGAGGTACTGGTAAAAAGTACTGGTATTATTATTATTATTATTTTGATTTATATAATTTTTTACAAGGCAAATGGAACAAATGTATCATTGACATTAGTGTAAATAAACACATAATGTGTAATATTACAATTTACAAGAAGAAAAATAAAAAACAGACTGTTGGACTAATGTAATTGATGTCTAGGTTAACTTAACTTAACTTAACTTAAATGAAATAAGCTTTGTATTGAAATATACTATGTTACACTAAATTAACCACTAAGGTGAAAAAGAAACTGCAGAATCAATTTAAATTAAAAAAAGGTTATTTCAGGACAGCAGTCTGTTTCATTTCCCAAGCCTTAAATTTGCTGAGAAAAAAAAAAAAACAGATTGCATCCAATTCCTCTAATCCTAACGAGGTGCTTATTAACCGTGGCCTTTCGTTTAAAAGGGCACAGCGTGACAAGCCTCGTCTCAGGATGCCTCATCCATACTGATGTCACTGGGTTTTTCTCTGTGTAAATAAAACTTGTGTTATTTCATTCAGATCAGCCACATTCAAAATCCAACATTAAAAAAAAACAAAACAAAAAAAAAACAAGGTCAGCTCCACCAGCTTCTGTTCTACTTGTCCATGGATGAGTTTGTTTTCACTTTCGGAAAGAATTCCGGTCCAGGTTTCCTCTAACTTCTGCAGTGTTTGGCCTTGGATTCTTCGAGGGTCCTACTTCTCTCTACCCACAGCTGTGAGTGATTTATCACCACCAAAAAACTTTCTCACCCACTATTTGAATTTTTTTTCCTCTGGTTTTTAATCTTCTTGCGACAAAAAGAACATTGCCTTCAGTCCTTTCCAACTACACCTGCACTCCAGTTCAGTGCCACCTTAAAAACTACACCATAAAAACACCATGTTTTTTCAAGTTGTTTTTTAAATCTTCTTCACCCTGTCATCGTTGAATTAAGAGGGATTTTTTAATTATGCTCAATGTATAAATGAAGACAACGCTCCCATTTTTCCACTAATGTGAGACACCGTCAGTGCAATCACAGCGCCTCCGTCAGGTTTCTGTGTGACTTCAATCAGAAACGAGAGCTTTGGAGTTGTTTTCGTTCCTCCCAGAGTCAGAGTCCGTCTGTGCGGCTGTAATGGACTCCGTGCCTGTCTGCTCGTCCTTGGCATTAGAGTTTCAGCCTCCAGATGAAAAGACACAAAAGAAATAGAGAAGAATGCCCGACAGACACAACTTCTGGAGGAAAAAGACGTGATTGAACCCATTTTGATCCTTCTTTCACAGTCGTTGAAATCAAAGGTTTGTTTGGTTTTTTTGTTAACTAGATTTTTATTGGTAAATAAAATACTACTACAACTACTACTATATAATAAAAACAAACAAACAAACCAAATATATATATATAAATATATATATATTGTGTTTGCATGGTGAGAAATTCTCTTTTGCAAATGTGTTCCTTGGTTTCTTTTCCCTCAGCACTTGTTTTTTTCTTCTTGTGACAAATACATAACTATTCACACAACAGTAGCAACAGAACAGAAATATCAAAATACTGACAGATTAGACTGGGTTTTTTTTGTGCATCGTGTACTCTATCTTACAATAACCAGAGATTTAAAAAAAAGAAAATCTGTTAGTGATTGTGTTTTTAGTTTTGAATACCACTCTGCCTGACTTTGTACACTGGAGCCTTTGTTTCTGTTAACATTAGTGTCTGTTGTGCATGGGTTCTTTCTTGTGTGTACTGTGTCGTACTTTGACCTCTCTCTGATCCTCTCTTCTGTACCATTGATGGAACGTCAACAGACGTGTTTGTTGTAACGTCTGCTCTCACACACAGGCAGCCCATAGAACATCACACGAACATCACATAATGGCCAGCAGGTGTCCCAGGCCGCGGGACACAAAGACAGAACACAGACGACTCTTTATCATGTTGTTCATTCATGTCCCGTCACTAACACCTGCAGTCGACAAGGCATTTGAACACAACTGTGAAGACCTGTGTTAGCGCTTGTGGATAAACATGAATTTTACATAGATATAAAAAAAGAAATCGTAAAAGTAATATCTGCTGGAACGAGGACCTGTGTTGGCGCTTGTGGATAAAAATGAATTCTACATAGATATAAAAAAAACCCCAATATTTTAATAAGTAATATCTGGTGTAAAGGTGTCATATTTCACATTTTAGCGATAAATCTATCTAACAATAAGCAGTATTTTGTTCAATTTACATAATACAGCGATCTGATATTGACAGAACAGCGCCCTCTTTAGAGGAATATGGGATCATCGTTAGGTCATAAATTGTTAGCTGGTCAATTCCGTTGAGCTCAACTGCTTTGTTTTGCGATGACGACAAATTCTATTCTAGTCAATTCATTTCTATATATGTATAGACCACCTGGCCCTCTGCAGAATTCAGAGACAATTAAAGACAAAAAAATCTGCTGAATCAATGTGAATGAAAAGGACAGTCAGGTCAACGTCCTTCTCCATCCTACAGCCTCAGAATTGACTCCCTCCTTTTTTGGCTAATCATTCTGAGGTGCTTGTTAAACATGGCCTCCAACACAAAAGGGCAGAGCAGGAGAAGTGGTTTCTCAAACTGCTTCATCCATAGTAATGCTGCGTCCTCCCTGCCACCGTACAAAAAAAAAAAGTGAATCATTGTCTAGAAAACAGATACGTTTCTTTTCCACTCTGAGTCTGAAAAGCCTGAAAAACCTTGAGGGACGTAACGAAGCAGAATCTTAAGCTGAAAATCACTGTTTATGTCTTTGTTGACAACAGTGTCTGTCGTTTCCTGCTGGGCTGCAGGTTAATTAAAACATCGACGATGGTTGGACGAGAGGCTCGTGATATGAAACACAAACAGAATGGAACTGTCAAATGTACAAATGTCCACCTCATAAAACATCATGTCAGACAGTATGATCGGTCACCGAGTTGCTGTTCGATTATTACGTGTGACTCATTTTTCACTGCACTTTTTGAAAAAAAAAAAAATCAAATCTATTTTCACAATGTCACCTGGACACTGTAGAACACCCAAGAACATTGACAATTTAAATCAATAAAAAACAATTACACTGCCACTGAAGTTTTGACCTTGTTTTTTTTTTCTGTCTTTTCCTACTTTTGGACTTCAAGGCTGATTGGTTTTCACATGGTTATTGAACCATAAATCTTTTTTTTTAATATTTCAGCTCTCGTCCAGTGAACAATAAATGTCATAAAAATAAAATAAATCTTTGTCAGGATTCAATTAAAATAAAGTGGAAAAATGGAAGATACAAGTTAAGACAAGTTTGCTGAACATCCTCTGTCAAGTTAATGTGAAACAACGGCACAAAAAGACATTCAATGTAGTAGTCATGTTATTACAGGTGTTATCACCAATAACACAATAATCACACAGTTCATCTGCTGTAACCTGTGTCGTTACAGTCTGTCTTTTCTGAGCAGCATATGAACAAAAAAAAAGTCCAAGAAAATTATTATATATAAAAATAACAGAGTAACTTCAAGCTGTGTTTCCATCAGAGAATTCCTTTTTTTTTTTTTTGCAGAGGTCTTGGAGATGTCTTTTCCTCCAGGTGTCAAATCTGCACCTCCTTGTCTAAGGACTGAAATCGAATTCTTTAAATTTTAGGATAAGAGGAAAAAAAAAAGAAAGAAACAAATGGAGGTAGATAAAAAACCTGTCTCAAGGTTCAATAATT